ACATTGAAATCTATCTATGAAGACAATGTACCTGCACTTTCCCACAACGATTTGTTTAACATATCAAACATGCAGATATAGTTTTGATTCAAATGATAACAACGTCAAGTTTTAGAGAACCTTACCTTCAAATCGCCCACCTCCATATTTATCCCCACAGACAAGCCATCAAACTTTTAGTATTGAGTACACAATGTATAAAAGGCCCCAGTATCAAGTGGATTTGTCTTGTTCAAGAAAGATATTGCATTGTAAGTATCTACATGATTTACACATATTTCTACTGTACCATCTGAGCCCTGCTTTCACCCATATTCTGCACATTAAATTTCTCTTCAAAGCTAGAAACAAAATCCTCCATGCATGACCTATAGGTCTCCATCCCAACAATCTTTTGAGCAATTTCTAGCCCAGCATTCATCCACTTCTTTGCCACGTCAATCTGCCCTAGCCTTACAGGCAATGCTGCCCGATTCCATGCAGTCATTGCAAGCCATTTTCCTTCTTCTGTCGGATACTCGCCTTCCTTCAACCCCACCATCATCCTGTATGCTTGCTTGTACATGTCAATCACAACATCATCATCTGTATCACCCTTGTGAATGCTAGCTATTACAATCAATCTTCGGATGATTAGAGCAATGTCTTGGTAGTCTGGGGAGGAGGAAGAAAGGAGGGCCGAGAGGCATTCATTCAGAGCAAAGGCTGCCACTTCAGGATTTGAACGTGGATCCTCTGAGGCTCTGAGGCCAATTTGAAGAAGGTATTTAGCATTGCAAGCCTTTGAGCTAGCAAAGCTCTTTACAAGGAGTTCTTGGGACTGAGCATTGTTCAATCTTCCCTGTATATCATAGGCATTGAGAGTGTGCATGAAGAAGAGGTCAGGTTCAATGGTGCTGATTTTATCAGAACTTGGTTGAGTTGCCACTGGGAGTGAGTTCAGCATCTGCATCCATGCATCAACCAATTATAAGTGAAGAAAACATGGTAGCAAGTATAACTTGTAGTCTTCAAAATATTATTATCCAGTTAATACTGATTATGAATTGCAATAAGTGATATGCATAAACAGTTGAATTATAGTATGCCATCTAAAGACACATACCTTTCCTGCTTTATCTAGCAATTCAGCAGCATCTTTCACTTCAGCATCCATCAATGGACCATTTTTCCCCTTCTCTGAAGCTATTATAGCTGAAACAGTCAGTATTAAGGATTTGCAAATCATGACATTATTTTCTTCCACTTGCCCCTCAAACATAAAACTGTAAAATCCTGCTGCTAATTTGAAAAATGCAGCACATGATTCAAACTTCTTTTCCTTCCCACATTTTGTTCCAAAATTCCATGAAGACACTGCAAACCAATTCTTTTCTCTTCTTCCAACCTCTCCCTTTCCAAAAAAGCAGTCAGATCCAAGCTCAGAAGCTCTGATGTGAGTGCTTTTTAAGAACTTGAGAATATCAGCCTCATTACCAAGTTCTTGACCCAGAATTGTGACTAAAGTGCGTAGCACTACGACTTCTGATGTTGGCATGGGTTTTCCCGAGGAATAGAAGTTAAGAAAGTTGGACAGAGAGGCAGCAGCAACAGGAAGAGCATGGCAAGCAACAGCTTCATGGGCTGAGAGAGACAGAAATTCTGGAGTGAAATCAAGGCATGTTGTCATTGCTTGAATCTGATTGATGGCACTGCCATGGTCATTCTTTTGCAAATAGATTTTGAACTGCATAAATCAGGATATGAAGAGTTGGTTATTAGCATCAATTAGATAATCTTGCAGAGAATTGAGTGATGGATGGTGGTCACTAAGGACTGAATCCATCAGTGGCAGTCTTTAAAGGCAGTCTTTAAACTGAGTCAAATATGTCTTAAATGTGTGACAGAGGGAGTACCTTAAGAAAGGCACATGTGATGTTTGGTTCAAGCTGCAGAAACCGAAAACATTTAGAAAACTAACATTCATATCTTCATCTTAGAGACCAATATTATTGTCAAAGATACCTTGTCAGCTTCATTTATGTATTCTTGAGCTTGATCTAGCTGGGACATACCAAGGCAGCAGAGACACAAAATTCTGAAGCCCTTTGCTCGTAGAATTATGTTCTCAATGTCATTTGGAATGTAAAGCATAGATTTCTCAAACATCTCAGCACTTGTCTCATAATCTTTCGATCTGAAAATATCTGAAGCGCTGTAAAAACAACAAGATTATTGAGACAGCTACTTTGAATAGAATTATTAAGTAAATCTAGTCATATCTCTATCAGAGTACATTTACCAAAACCTGGCAGAGAGAACATGGAAACATTTCAGCTATAAATAATGTCATTTACCACATGATCATGCAAGTAAGTTGGCGTCTGCCCCAGTTTCAATCTGTGAATCTTCTAGGTTATGCAAGCCAAAGAAATTTAATAGAAGAAATCTATTTCTCTAGATATCAACTTCCATATGGACTAATCTGGAAATCACAGAAATTTCCCAAAAAGTTAGCTAAAATAGAAAGATAAGAGATGCAACTCACCAATTCCACAGAATAGCATGCATTGCCCTCCTCTCTTTGGAGGCCGCCTCGCCATTAAATAAGGCCACCACCCTCTCATCGGACGCTAGTTCTGCGACTACCTTCCCCCTGATCCTCGAACCCTCCCCACCAATGCCATCTCCGATCATCCTGTGGATCACCCTGATTGCAGCGCGTGCGCTGACGTGGCACCTTCCTAACAGTCCTAGGAAGACACCCTTAGCAGTCTCCGCACCCGCCGTCCCCGCCGCCTGGAAGTAAGCCTCCAACGCCGACAACCAAACACTCTCTGGAATCCCCTTGTTTACCACCATGTCCCTTAGCTCCTTCTCAGCCTCGCTATACCTTCCTAAACCAAGCCACGCTTTCATCGCCAGCACCGGCAACGAAGCGTGGTTATCTCCACCATCACAACTCTCTCTTAAAACCCTAACGCACTTTATCACGCTCTCGAACTCCCCCTTTTGCAAATGGACGGCTGAGATGAAACGAAGCGTCTTCAATCTCAATTCCTTGATCTCAACCGCCTCTTCTCGTGTTATCGCCACAGAAGTTCCCTTCTCGCAGATATCTAATGCCTCGTTCATGAGCTTCAACGCTTCGTTAAAACCGTGAGTCTCGTTCGTCGGCAATACGCTCTTCGCGAACGCCAAGTACTGATTCGCGAGCGCTTTGTAGTGATCGGACAAACCGAAAAGAAGGCTCTTCGACCGGCTCAGCAGCGTTAACGCCAGATTCCGCTCAGAGACTTCCCACGCCGTACGAGATCTCGCGATATTTAGATCCAACAGCAGCTTCCTCTCTCTTGCGTCCGATGTGTCGCTAATATCGAGCTTGGCGACCAGATCTGTAGCCTTCTCAAAGCAAGTAAAAGCGAGATCGAAGCTTCGGAGCTCATGCCATATGACACCAGTTTTGTAGTAAAAGAAGGCGGACTTGATCGCGGGAGAGGGAACACCGGGGACGTCGATTGCGACGAAGAGCATGTCGGCAGCCGCGTGACGGAGCTTAGCGATATTTTCAGCGGAGAATTTGGAGGATGGAGAGTGGATTGCTGCGGCATTGGAGAGATCGACGCAAGCGTTCCAGAGGCGGTAGCTGAGCTTCCAGAGGTGGAGCTTGAGCGAGCTACTATTAGGCAAGGGAGTGAGCTGCGTTAAGGCTTGATGGAGTTCAGAGGGGAGCGAGTCGGGCAAGGGGTTAGCCGGTTGCTGTATCTCGGTTTGTTTGACTTTTGACTCGATTAGAGAGAGTATCTGCTGGTGTTGGTGGTGGAGGCCCTGGAGGGGAGATTGCCGACCGTCTGTGGGTTGCCGGAGCTCCGATGTCGAAATCTCTGAGATTCTCATCTTTTGGCGGGAAATTTTCGGACAGAGAGTTGGAGATTTGAATTGTGAAAATTCTTTTGGAGGGAATGCTTGTGGCGAATTGGAGTAGAGAGCTGATAAAATGGAGTAATTTGCAGTGGGATTTTTGTTGTTAAATGTATACATTTAATTCTCATAAATTAGAAGGAGAGAAAACTGTTTTACAGCAAGTTATGTAGAATTACTTAAATCTCTTTCATATTGTTTTTATATTATTTATTTAAAAGTATTTGACTAATTTTATAAAATAATTTGTATTCGATCTATGTTGTAAAACAGTTTTTAATTAAAAAATATAAAATATAGGTTTTTTTTTTATATGATTAGAAGAAAATCACT